ATTCTGACTTCCATTGCCTCAATTCTGCTATGACTTTCTCTTGAGTTGTCTGATTCTGAAATTTTATTCTTAATCTTTTGAATTTCTGTTTGCTGTCTCTCTATAGATTCTTGCAGCCTGTTAAATTTGTCATCGTGCTCTTGTATAACCTTCATAAGTTCCTCTACTGCTTTGTCTGTGTGTTCCTTGGCTTGTTCTGCATTTTGCATGATCTACATCCTGATCTCTTGAAGAGCTATGTATATTAATCTTTTGAATTATACCTCTGGTAATTCCAAGAAGTTTTCTTCTTCTGGAAGATATCTTGAATCTTTGTTTTGGGCACTTGTTGAAGCCATCATGGTCTGCTTCTTTGTGTGATTTGATATCAACTGTTGTCACTGAGCCATCAATAAGTTACTATATTTATTTTGTGTTTGCTTACTGTGTCCTAGCTTCTTGTTTTGTTTTGTTTTGATATGCACAAATAGGCTGCTCATGTGAGCTACTTTGATTATTAGCGCATTTGAAGCTCTAAGGTCCTTTCACCAGGTGGTTAGATCTGTTACTAGGTATATGAGCCCAGGAGTCCGTTTACTTTTCTTGTATGGGTTCAGCTCAGGTGTCTAGGTAGTTGGTCACCAAGTATGTGGTGCAGGCTCTCACCTACAGTCTTAGACGGGCAGGGGTGATTGGAGTAGGCACAGGTATCTGGCTGCAGTAGGGGGTCATGCGCTTGAGCAAGGTAGGGGGCTGACGGCTGCCCCTGAGTGTCTGGGAGGAGAGCATGTCCCTGTTCCCTAGAGTGCGTAGGTGAGTGTGTTTTGCAGCCAGACTATGGTCACCTGATGCTGTTGGCTGCAAGGACCGGAGGCACCACTTATTCTTGGACCCCTGTTGTGCGTGGCTAGGTGGCATGGGTGGAGCCACCAGTCCTCAAGCCCTTGATGTGGGTAGGTGAGGACCCTGCTTAATGGGCAGAGTGGTGTCAAATGTCATGAATCTGCCACTCTTCCTTAGAGCTGATACAGTTGAAAATAGGCTTCAGGTATATACCCTATTGTACTGTCCTAATGAGGGCCTATGCTGTTGAAATGAGCTACACAGATCTATGCAGGGGTGAAAGGCTTTCAAAGTCTGTGGATATCTTATGCCTGTGCCTAGGCAAAGGAGCTGTGCCTGCCCTGAGCTCCCGGCTTTGGGGAGCTGGCAGATTATTTTTTTCCTGTTTGTTAATTTGTTCCCTCTCCAAAGCCGGGAGAATGGCTCAGGGCACACGATGGGTGCTACTTTTGGCCCAGGGGATGCAGCAGTTGCTGAAGCCAGCCTGGGACCTGGTGCAGAGTGAGGAGGAGGCAGGTAAACAGGAGAGAAGTTCTTCGGAAAGGGGGTGTTTTTTTGATGTGCGCTGCATGTTAGACACATGTACTTATCTTTTGCTGGTTGAGTGCCGCTTCTCACTAGCTCTGGAGGCTTGAGTAGACTCTCTGCCACTTGTTCTCTCCCAATGTGGAAAACACAGCCCGAGCGCTACCGCTTGCCTCACCACACATGCCAGCCGATCCATCCTGCAGAGTGCCGGTTCCCGCTGGGTCGGGTCTGGCAGCTCCTCCCTGCTTCTGAACCCTCCCCCTGCCACTGAGTCCGATTCCTCCACTTTGCCTTTGATGTGCAGGGCTCTTAGATTGTCATATATAATTGATCCACTTGTTTTTTCAGGTGTTTGTTGTAAGAGGGACCACTGGAAGCATCTGACTACTCCGCCATCTTGACCCCACCTCTCCCTGATGATTCTTTAGCTCCATTAATTTTTCTGTGTTTATCCTTTGGCACTGCCATGGATTGAGCTGTGTCCCCCCAAAATATGTGTCAACTTGGTTGGGCCATGATTCCCGGTATTGTGTGGTTGGCCTCCATTTTGTGATTGTAATTTTATGTGAAAGAGGATTAGGGTGGGATTGTGACACCCTTACTAAGGTCACATCCCTGATTCAGTGTAAAAAGAGTTTCCCTCGGGTGTGGCCTGCACCACCTTTTATCTTACAAGAGATGAAAGGGAAGCAAGCACAGAGTGGGGGACTTCATACTACCAAGAAAGCAATGCTGGAAGCAGAGCGTGTCCTTTGGACCTGGGGTCCCTGTGTGGAGAAGCTCCTAGTCCAGGGGAGGAATTGATGAGAAGGCCAACAGAGAGAGAAAGCCTTCCCCTGGGTGAGCTGGCACCCTAAATTTGGACTTGTAGCCTACTAGACTATGAGAAAATAAATATCTCTTTGTTAAAAGCCAGCCACTTGTGGTATTTCTGTTATAGCAGCACTAGATGACTAAGACAGGCACTCTGCTGTAATAAAGAGCTTTTCCTAGTCATATGTTCACATATTCATACATGCATACATTCATGTGTTCATACACGCACACATTCGTATGTTCATATACATTCCTGTGGTCGTACATTCACACGTTCATACACTCACACATTCATACTTTTGTACACTCTCACATTCCTGTGTTCATACATTCACACATGTATATGTGCATACACTCACGTGCTCCCATGTTCATACACTCACATGTTCCAGTGTTCATACACGCACATGTTCATACACCCGTGTTCATGTTAAAAACACGTTTGTATGTTCATACAATCACACATTCATATTTCCATACATTTGTATGTTCATACACACGTTCACGTGTTTATACATTCATACATGCACTCACATGTTCACATTTTCATACGCTCACCTGTTAATATGTTCATGCATTCACACATTCCTATGTTCATAACTCACATGTTCCTGTGTTCACGTGTTCATATGTTCATACGTTTATGTGCACACCTGAGCATGGACTTCTGGGCTCCTGCCTGACGCAGGTCCTGTAACCTGTTGCTGTCATTGACTTTGGTGCTCACATTGTCTCAGACTTGGCTGGTGGAAGCCCCTTCACGCTGGCTGCTGTGTCCTTTTTTTTATTATTGTGGTAAAATATATATAACGAAACATTTTCCATTTCCACATTTTTGCATGTACAACTCAGTGACATTAATTACGGTCACCATCACCCCAACAGAAACTCGGTCCTCATCAAGTGATCCTGCCCTCTCCTGCCCTGTGTCCTCTTGATGGGTCCCTCCTGTCCTGTGTGTGCTCCTGCACTTCTTGGCACAAACATTTGTCCAGGCTGCCCACAGGCTTCCCTCCCCTGCACTGTGGGCCCTTTTCAAATAAGGGGTTGTTCTCCCTCATTTCTGGGAGCTTCATCTCCGTCAGTCCATAAATGCTCCCTGTTCTGCATCGTCTCTGATGCTGGTGCTTCTGTTGTCTGAGTTCAGTGCTTGTCCTCCACATCTCCTAGGCTTCCTTTTTCTCCTAAAATTTCTGTTCTTTCTTCCTCCTTGCAGGCTTCTTCAATCTGTTCTTCCAAGTTGGTAATTTCTTCCTCGGCTATATCCATTTGCTATTAATTTCCTGAATCGAATTATTTATTTCAACTGTTAAACAATTGTTCATATAATTTCCCTGGGGTGTTTTTCTTGTTCTTGGTTCATATTGCTCACGTTTTCCCGTTGATAGTCTGTTTACGAGGCTAAGCGCATGTTCTTGGCCTGTGCGTGTCCTGTGACCTTGGAATCCAGGGCCCTCTGGATGATCTTTCTCGGGTAGTTGGCTGTGTCCCTTGGATTTCCTTGTTAACCCAAATGTATTTTTTAGGGTGTTTAAATACATTCATCTTCCCATTTGTGGGTTTGTGGTTTTATTGCATTGTAGACATTGAGTTTGGCCAGGATGATTTCTGCTTTGAGTGTTTGCTGAGATTTTCTTTTCGGCCTAATAGATGGTCAGGTTTTAAAAGTTGTCCGTGTGTGTTTGGTATAAAGTTCTATCTATATTTTAGAGCATGCTTAAACAATTGTTCAAGTCCTCGATGTCCCTGTTTTCTTCCCTTGACCTTTGGTTTCCAGGGTCGATGTGTTAAAAGTTTCCCACAATCACTGCGCTTTTGCAGTTTGTCTCTGTAGATCAGTTTCTGCTTTTCAGCATTTAGAGCGTGACTGGGGACTAAGCGTGTTTACAAGACTTGAGTCTTCCCTCAGTACGTGCTTCCTACGGCTGCTGCAACAAGTACCACATGCTGGGTGACTTAGACCAGAAATTCATTCTCTGTCAGTTCTCGGGGCTGGGAGTCCAAGCTCAGGGCACCACTCTCTGTCCGCTCTCTCGGAGAGGATCCTTCCTTGTCTCTCAGCTTCTGGTGGCCCCAGGGCTTCCTTGGTTTGTAGATAATGCGTCGTTACACGGCTAGTCGTCTTCCCTCTGTGTGTCTTCCCCTCTCGTATGCGGACACCACTCACTGGGCACAGCACCCACCCTACTCCGGCAGGACCTCACGTTGCCCTAGCTGATCACATCTTCCACACAGGGCCGTGCTCACAGATTCCAGGGTTAGGACCTGACACATCTTCTTTTTTTTTTTTTTTTTTAATTGTACTTCAGGTGAAGGTTTACAGAACAAATAGTTTCTCATGAAACAGTAGTACACATATTGTTTTACGACATTGGTTAACAACCCCATGACAAGACACATCTTTTTTTGGAGACACACTTTATGGCACCCTTGCAGAGAAGCCTCCCAGATCCAGGTTTTGGGGCCCTGCCTCCATGGGCGAGGGGACCACAGGCACTGCGGGGCGTGGCCACTCGCCCGGAGGCCACCACAGTGGACAGTCGCTAGTGGGAACAGCTTTTCTATGGCGCCGTTTCCCACGTCATCTGTTCCTCCCGTGTTGGCGGACGGAGGACTTGGCACACCACTGCCGGCAGGGGCGCTTGGTGTCCTTCGCTTCGCAGACGGGCACTGAGCTGGCACCTGCCTTCAGGGTGACCGTAGCGCAGGTGCAGTTTCTGTCCACGGCTGGTGTGGGCCAGGCAGTGCCCTGACCGACTGCCTGGCTCTGCTGGTGAATCGTACGTAACAGGGCAGGTCACCCTGCAGTCACCTACACACACTTTTGCCCTCAGCCCGAGAGGCAGGGCCCAGGAGGAGAGGACCTGCCCGCTGACAGCGTGCGCGCCATCAGCATCAGCACCCTCTACCTCATCAGCACCACTGTGGACAGAATGAGCGATGTGAGTACGTGGCCCGCGCCAGCCCGCCCCCAAGCCTATGGGGAGTACCCCGTTCTGGCTGTGCCCCCGAGCAGGGGCCTCCATCTCAGGGTCCCCTCTGTCCTCCTCTGAGCCCTTGCCCACGTGGGGGTCCCACCTGCCCTGACTGACCCTTTTCCCTCCAGACCCTGGCCGAGTTGACCATGAAGGGTGGTGGTGGGCAGCCCTTTGGGGGGGCCCTCGCGGCTTCTTGCTCTTTTCAGGATGAGCAGAGGTTCTGCCCAGCCCCTCCTGAGCCCAGAGTGGGGATAGGCATACATGGGTCAGACGAGCCTCCGGAGGGGACCAGGCCTGCGCATGCCTCCTGTGGGCGCTGCTGTTCCAGGGGCAGCTATGCGCTGCCTCTCCAGGCCTGCCCGCAGGGGACCCCCACCCGCACACCAGGTGCTCTCCCCCCAGGTGCTCTGGCCCTACCTGCTTGAGTTCCTCACACCAGTGCGGTTCACCGGGGCGCTGACGCCACTCTGCCGGAGCCTGGCACACCTGGCCCTGAAGAGGCAGGAGGCTGGGGCCGACGCCTTCCTCATCCAGTACGAGGCCAGCGGTGTGTGCCGCCCTGCCCGGTGCCCAGGGGTCTGGGAGGCTGGGGCGCAGCTCCCCCGCGTGACGGCACCCTCGCGCTCTCATTTCAGTGAAGCTTCCGTCGCCCTATGCCATAACCTCCAGACTGCTGGTGAGTGCCGCCCTCGCTCGGCCCCAGGAAGTGGGGCGGGCCTGGAACCGTGGGCGTGAAGGTGGGCAGAGGGGCGTGGGTTCCCCTGCTGCCCAGTGCTTGCAGCCGTCTGGGGAGAGCCGAACGCAGCCATGCATGCGCCCCTCCCCAGCCAGCCCGCTCCTCACCGCCACCCACTGCAGGTCGTGTCCTCAGACCCCTATGTGGGGGACTGCCGCGGTGTGGCCTCGCTGCGGCTGCTGCACGTCCTTCATCACCACATCCACCCTCTGCTGGGCCCGAGGTGGGAGACCACCGTCCCCCAGCTGGTGCAGCACCTGGACGGTGAGGCCTGCGGCACTGCAGGGCGGCTGGGGTCTAGTCAGCGGGAGGAACAGCTCCACAGCGGTCACGCTGGCACTCCCAGCGCGGTTACACTGAGGGGACGGCCCAGCCCTAGGCCTGGTCAGCCGGGCAGGCAGGGCAGGGGAGGAGTTGCTGGGTGCCAACCTGCTAAGGCCCAACTTGTGCCTGTGTATGTGGTGGGGGTGGGGGGCCATGTGTGGCCAGGCCCAGGCCAACTGGGTTTCCACTTGTTCCAGAACACACCGAGGAAACCCTGTCCCGGAAGGAATGGGAGGAAAAGCTCCTGATGGTGAGAGACGAAGGGAAGGCGAAGCCTGTCCCGGCACAGAGCCCCGCAGACACTGGGGGAGACATGTTGCCCTCTCTCCTGGACATACTCCGTCCCCAGTGGCGTCTCTTCTCGCTCACAGTTCCTGCGTGACACTCTGGCCGTCGTGTCTGACAACACGTGGGTCTGCCAGCTGAGCCTGGAGATGTGCAAGCAGCTACCCTGCTACAATGGGGCGCCCCAGGAGAAGGTGCGGCCTGCGCATGGGCCCTGTGCCGTGACAGGTCAGGGGTCAGCGGCCTGCACCCCCCAGGGAGCGAATGTCAGAGCCAGGATCCAACCCAGGCGGTGTTTGCACACCCGTGCGTCCTCTGCCTTCTCTGGCGCCCCTGGCTGTGGCCGCTGTGGCCTCCTCGTGCCTTTGCTGGGCCATGCTTGCGCCAGCACAGGGTGCCGCGATGGCTCGGGTGGTGCTCTCTCCGAGAACACTGCCATGTCCCCCGAGCCCTGCTGGGCCGTGCTTGCGCCAGCACGGGGTGCCGCGATGGCTCGGGTGGTGCTCTCTCCGAGAACACTGCCATGTCCCCCGAGCCCTGAGGTCGTGTCACTCGGTGCCGAAGCCCCTGCCCCCACGGCCCTGGTGCCCTGCGCAGCCGCTGCTGTGCAGCCGGGCCTCGCAGGCAGGGCTACGGCTGTGCTCTGGAGTGAACGCCGCCGTGCTCTGTGTTCTGTTCCAGAACTTCCTGTATAAATGCATAGGGACCGCCTTGGGTGCTGCATCCAGTAAGGAGGTGGTGAGGAAACAGCTTCAAGGGCTGCTGGAGACAGCCAGATACCAGGAGGAGGCAGAGCGCGAGGTACTCCGAGGGCCGCTGTGGGTGGGGGCAGTGTTTGCACACCTGTACATGCCTGTGCACATACATGTGTGCGTGTGTGAGCACACGCGTGTGTGAGCGTGGATTGCAGACCTGTACATGCATGTGCACGTGAGCTCCTGACGCACCGCTCTCAGGGCCGGCCTGGGCCCCGCCCCTGCTTGTCAGGCCTCTTCCTCCAGGCTGGCCTCCCCTGCCTCCTGCCCTGAGACCAGTGCCTTGTGCAGTGTTGGGCCCTTCTGGGAGGCCAGCTTTGCCTCCGAGTCAATGGCAGGCCCCCCAGGCCCTCGCTGCAGACTCAGGTGTAGGAGAAGCCTCCAGACAGAAGTGGGGTGCAGTGCTGTCCTTCATGCCCCTCCCATCCTTTGGCCAGCTGTCCCCAGGCCTGTGTATGGGAGCCCCCCAGCACACAAGACCCTGTGTCGCCCCCAGGGCCTGGCCTGCTGCTTTGGCATCTGTGCTGTCTCACACCTGGACAATGTCCTGGCCCAGCTAGAGGACTTTGTACGGTCTGACGTGTTCAGGAAGTCTGTCGGCATCTTGAGCATTTTCAAGGTGTGGAGGGCAGGCAGATGGGGGTAGGGTGGGGGACCTGGGGACCCGTTGACCTGTCCCATCCAGTTCTGTGCTCTGTGCCTCTGTTACATCAGGGGAGGGTGCTGTGCCCCTCCGGGCAGCTCTGCTTCTCTCAGCGACCTGGGCACAGCCCGAGTGTGTGGGCTCCCTCCAAGCACAGGAGGGCAGAAAGGCCAAGCAAGTGAGGGAGTGAGCCTTGGGACTGCCCACCCAGCGGTCTTGGCTCCACTCTGCCCCCTGGTGGCCCTGGCCCCTGAGCACACTCAGAGTGCCGGGTGTGATTAAGGAAGAAGGGAGGGATAGCAGATGCCCCCCGCCCCCCCGCCACCGTGTCCCCTTGGTCTTGTCCCGCTCACCCAGCCCCTCCTGCTTTCCCTGGCAGAGGGCCCTCTCTCTGGCCTGGCCAGGCAGTGTCCCCATGGTCAGCGGTGCTTCTGCCATCACTGACCAACTCTGGCCCTTCTGCCCCGGGAGGACTCGCTAGTTAGAGCCCCAACGCCTGCCTGGGTGGAGGGTCTTGTGTAATGGGAGGCGTGCTGTCCGCTGACCCAGGATCGGAGCGAGAATGAGGTGGAGAAGGTGAAGAGCGCGCTGATCCTGTGCTACGGGCATGTAGCTGTGCAGGCGCCCCGCGAGCTGGTGCTGGCCCGGGTGGAGGCAGACATCCTCCGGAACATGTTCCAGTACTTCAACACCAAGGTGGGCTGGGCCCCGCCCCGGGGGGCGCTCACGTGGGGCCTCGTCTTGTGACTCCTGCTTTCTGTTGTTCAGGTTCTGGGGATAAAGGTAGAAACCAAGGTACGGTGCTCAGAGCCGAGTGTGACTCTGCCTTCAGGCTCTTTCTCTCTGCCTGGTTGGGGGCTGTAGGGCAGGAGCCAGAGGGGCACCGGGGCCTCTGTCCCAGTCCACAGGAACCTTCTAGGGTACCACTGCAGGGCCCACCCCTGTCCCCACTTCCTCAGGAGCAGCCCCTCCCCTCGGGGTGGGGGGTGGGGACCCGCTGCCCACAGGCCTCATGGCCACAGCGCTGCCGTCTCCTCTGGCTCTGCCCCAGCGCCCACGGGCCAGCTCTGTCCCTGCCAAGGCCAACCTCTCCTGGCCTCACTGACGTATTTCCTTCTTCTGGACTTTTCTTTGGCACTAACCTGATGGGCCCCAGCCTCCTCGAGTGGCCGGAGCCTGGGTCTCCCGGGGTTGGTGGGGAGCGAGAGAAGCAGTGGCGTGGCCTGCTCTGAGATGTGCCCCTGTTCCCCAGCCCGTCAGAATGGGAGCTCCCCTCCCCCTTCCCCCGTGGCACACAGGGCCACTGCCTCTGGACCCTGGGGTGTCACAGGCTGGCTCACCCCTGCCCTCGGGAGAGCTGTCCCCTGCTCCTTCTCTGACCTCACAGGGCCTGTCGGCAGCATGGAGGGGGCGCTCTTCTGCTTCTTGCTGGTGGGAGTGCGGGCGTGGAGTGGGGAGGGGCCCCCTCCAGCCAGGGGCTGGAACCCAAGGCTGAGACCCAGGCCCCATGGTGCGGGCAGCAGAGCCAAGCCCAAGGCGTCCTGTGAGGTTCTCTGTCCGCATGTGGCTTTGGGCAGGCTGCAGGGCTACAGCTAGCTGCGGAGCGTGGGTACCTTCTCGGAGTCCTTTCAGAACAGGGGGACCGTTTCTGGGCGCTGGTGCTGCTGGTGAGGAGCTGCCGTTCAGGTAGAGGCTGTTCAGGGGTGGGACGGGCCCCTGCAGCACACTGTCTCCCCAGGACCCGGCCTTGAAGCTGTGCCTGGTTCAGAGCATCTGCATGGTCTGCCAGGCCATCTGCGGCAGCACGCAGGCAGGTGCCTTCCACTTCGCACGGAAAGCAGAGCTGGTGGCACACATGACGGTGAGTGCGAGCACCCGGGAGAGCGCAGCGAGCAGCACGGTGGGAGGCTGGCGGGGGCCCGACGTGGGAAGGAAGCTGGGCCCCCAGGAGCTGAGCTCGGTGATGCTCCGTGTAGGAGTTCATCCGGGCGGAGCCCCCAGACTCACTGAGAACACCCCTGCGGAAGAAGGCTATGACGGCGTGCACACTCCTGGTGTATCCTTTCCTCCCCTGTGCACGCGTGCACAAGTGCGTGCCAGCCTGTGTGGAGGTGTGTTGGCACACGTGTGCACTCTGGAGCGTGGGGTGCCGTCTTGGGCCGGGAGTGCGTGTGAGCACGTGGGGCGCTATGCCAGTCAACTCAGGGACTGGTCCCCCACAGGGTGGCATCAGCTGCTGCCCTGGTGGCCCCTTGACTGGCTACTCAGCTCCCTGGAGCCACCACTGGAAGAGCAGATGCAGGCGGACATGACCCACTGCTGCCTGCAGAGTGTCATGGCCTTGCTGCCGGAGCCCGACAGGGAGGACGCCAGCGACCGCGAGGTGTGTGCCCCCTGCCGCCCCTGTGCCCCAGGCAGGGTCACCCAGGGGAGGTGGTGGCCTCATGCTCCTCTTCCAGGCCCTGTACTTGGACACACTCCACGCCCTGGAGGACCTGCTGACAAGTCTCCTGCATCGGAACATGACCCCTCAGGGCCTGCAGATCATGGTGGAGGTACACGGCCCCCCGCCCTGCATCCTGCCCTCAGCCACCCTGCTACAGCCGGTGGTGCAGCCCCCCTCTTCCCCAGCACCTGAGCCCGTGGATCAAGTCGCCCCGTGGCCACGAGCGGGAGCGTGCGCTGAGGGTCAGCGCCTGCCTGCTGCACTACTTCCTGGAGCGCCTGCATGTCAGTGTGAGTACCGGCCGCCCCGCGGTAGTCTGACCATGACTCACCCCACCTACCGTACCCCTACCTATGACCCGCCCACCGTGGCCCACCCGCCGTGCCCCCACCCTCGTGACCTGCCCGCCCCCACTGGCCTCCCTCTCATGGTTCTTGTACCGCTTGAGGCCTGTTGCACTTGCCCTGGCCTAGAACCCTGTTTCTGGAGATGGTGGTCGAGGACCTGCAGGGCTAGGAATCACCCCAGGCTGACCCCTTGGGGTGAACGCAGACATGCACCCTCGGGCTCAGGGCTAACAGGATGACACGTGTGCCATGTTCCCCAGCCAGGGCCAGGAGTGTTGGGGGATTGGGCCTGAAAGCAGCAGCCCAGGGCGTTCCAGGCAGAAGTGGCTGTCAGGGCAAAGGCAGGGGCTTGGGTGCCCAGCGTGAGCTGGGGGCTTGTCTGAGAACCGTACTTTTATTATATGCACTTCAATATTTGTTAAGAGCAGTTGCATAATACTGTACTTTTCCAGAATTTTCTGTTGTTCTTATGAGGTCGTTAGTCTGGGTGATCTTCAGGGCGATCTTGACGCCGTCCTGGGCATTCCTGCACAATGTTGGTGAGGATTGCGTTGACTAGATGGACTAGTTTGTCAGGCAGCAGCATCCTTGAATGAGGAGCACACTTGAATAATGAGGCACGTCACCCACCTGCTGGCTGTCCTTTGGGTCCCTCAGAAGCAGTGTCCGATTTCCTTCCCTGGCCTCGGGTTCAGTGTCCAGTTAGAGCCTTATTTGTGGTGTGGTTTTTCTTCTATGTGTGATGGGGTATTGTTGGGGTGTAAGAGAACTGGGTGGTTTATGGAAGTCTTTTGTCGTCTCTGATGGTTTTCTTAGTTCGTTTAACTCTTGTGCACTTTGGGTGTAGTCACATCATTTCCAAATGCTGATAATTTTGTCTCTTCCCCCGGTATTTCCACATCTCGGGTCCTCCTGACGTCTGGTGCTTTCAGAGCAAGGAGCAATGCATCAGCAGCACTGGGCCTTGAAACTTCACCGCTCAGCACAGTGCTGGATTCTGGTGGCAGGGCTTATCATGTTCTGGAAGCATCTGTGTGTTTTAATGAGGATTTTTGTCAGGAGCAGAGATTGTAAAGATCTTTTGTCATCTGTCAGAATGGTCGCAGGCTTTTCCCCGTGGTGTTGGGTTTTTTTCAAACACACTGAACCGTTAGTGCCTATGTGGGCAGATCTGGCCTCTGGCCTCTCTGTGGGTGCACCTTGCGTGTGTACCTCGACAGCCCTTCCTGCTCCCGCCCTTGCACGGCCTGTTCGTCACAGAGTTTATTTATGCTGGTAACACGCACTCAGCCCGTGAAGACAGGAGCTGCCGGTCGCCCTCGGCCTCAGCCTTTCCCTCCCGACTTGAACCTCTTTCTCGTTGTTGGCGACTTTTGGGACATGGCCAAAAAAAGGTCGTTGTCTCCTTGAAAGGGCTTGAGGAGGGTGGGGCGGGCACTCTTGGATGCCATGGGGGCAAGGCAGGAAGGCTTGGGTGTTGGGGGGTCTGGGCACATGTCACAGGGCCTACTGCAAGGAGTAAGGCCGTTGCCAGGAGGGTGGGGATGGGGCAGGACCTGAGGCCATGGGAAGGCTTGAGAGGTGGGCGGGACCCAGCCTTTCCTGTGCTCCATAGCCCTCGCCTCATTCTCCACACAAGGATCTACCGTCTGGGGAGGGGACTTCCAGGGTGCCAACCGAGCTTGGTCTGTGTCCTCCCTCCATGTCCTGGACACACCCCCTCTGCTGCACTGGGCGGGGGGCTCCTCTTCGATGCTGGCTGGGCCTCCGCTTGTGACCTGCAGCCTGGCCCTCCTCCTTGTTCTTGTCCCCAGGATCGGGGTAAAGGTTCCCCTCTGAGGGACGCAGGCAGACGGACGTGGTCAGAACTGAGGGGCAGGAGCCCGTGTGGAGTGTGGGATGTGGAGCGGAGGGGCGTGGGGTGGTGGGCGTGGGGTGGCCAGGCGGCTGGGCATGGAGCGGTGGGGCAGTGGGGTGTGGAGTGTGGGGCATGGGGCAGTGGGGTGGTAGGGCGTCGAGTGGTGGGCATCGGGCGGCGGTGGAGTGTGGAGTGTGGGGTGGCCAGGTGGCTGGGTGTGGAGTATGGGGCAGGGGGTGGCCGGGCAGTGGGGCGTGGAGTGTGGGGTGTGGAGTGGTGGGTGTGGGGAGGCGGGGTGGTGGGGTGTGGAGTGTGGAGTGTGGGGTGGCCAGGCAGCTGGGTATGGAGTGTGGGGCGTGGAATGGTAGGTGTGGGGCAGCGGGGCAGTGGGGTGTGGAGTGTGGAGCATGGGGTGGCTGGGCAGGGGGGTGTGGGGTGTGGAGTGTGGGGCATGGAGTGGTGGGTGTGGGGCAGCCGGCTGTGGGGCAGTGGGGTAGGGGGGTGGTGGGGTGTGGCGTGGCAGGGAACCCTAGTGGTGGGGCATGTCGCCCTGTGGGGAGTTCCCCCAGGAGCCTTGCAGGGCGCAGGGAGCCCAGGGCTGCATTCTGGCTGCCGGCTGTCTCTGGCCAGACTTCCCTCGCCTACAGCAGGTGGTCCCCATGGGTTGCGGGGTGCAGGCTGGTGCCACCTCCAACGAGTGCTCACACAGCCCAGCTCCTCCTTTTGGCCTCCACCATCCTAGGCACTGGTGCCCTTCCACAACCTGGGCCTCCTTGTTGGCCTCTTCTCCCCGCGCTGTGCCGACTTACGGCCGGCTACCCGCCAGGAAGCCGTGGGCTGCGTCTACTCGCTGCTCTACCTCCAGCTGGGCTACGAGGGTGAGCCCCTGGCTGGGTAGGGTCCACAGAGCACCCAGGGCAGTGGACTGGTGGGTGACGGGTAGGCAGCTGGCGGCTTCAGCAACCCTGGCCCTTCTGTCTCTGCAGGCTTTGCCCGGGACTACCGAGACGATGTGGCCGAGCAGCTTCTGGCCCTCAAAGACAGCCTCATGCACCCCAATCTCACTGTGCTCTTCCACACATGCCACAGCATTGCACAGGTGCTGCGGGCCTCCACACGGGGATTGGGGGGCACACCTGGCCGACATCACCACACCATCCCGTGACTGCACTGGGCTGGAGCTCAGGGATCCCGTGTGGCGGGAGGCATGCGTCTGCGGGTGCTGACTCTGGTATCTGTCTCACCGAGGCCTTCTGTCCGTCCTTTCTGTCTGTGACACGACCGTCCCTTTCCAGATCATCGGGAAACGCCTCCCACCGGATCAGCTGATCAGCCTCCTGCTCACCATGTTTGAGGGTCTGGGGGATCCTGACAAGAACTGCTCCCGTGCTGCCACGGTCATGATCAACTGTCTGCTGAAAGAGCGTGGCGCAGTTCTGCTGGAGAAGGCAGGCAGGGACCGGGGAGGGCCGAGGGGGTGGGGCTGGGCCAAAGGGCAGGTCCAGGCTGGAGGTGGGGCAGGGACAGAGGCAGAGGGGCAGAGTGGGGCAGAGCTAGGCCAGAGTCGGGGGGGTGGGCTGGAGGGGTGGTGAGGTGGGTGAGGGCCAGAGTCCATGAAATAATAAGGTCCAGTTCAGAGAGAGGAGAAGAAAGATGAATGGGTGAAGCACAGGATGTTTAAGGATAATGAAATTATCCAGCTTAGTACTGAAATGCGGGCTGGGGCAGACCTGATGGGGGTGGTGGGGGGCAGCCGTTCCAGACCCTGCTGGGATTTGACCCTCCCTGCTCTGCTCCCTTGCCCCGAGGGCCTGATATGGACAAATCTTTCTCCCGTCTGAAAACAGAGGTTAAACCAAAAAAACCCAAGCCTGTTGCCGTCAAGTCAATTCTCACTCATAGCGACCCTATAGGACAGAGTAGAACTGCCCCGTACGGTTTCCAGGGAGTGCCTGGTGGATTCGAACTGCTGACCTTTTGGTTAGCAGCCATAGCTCTTAACCACTACACCACCATGCTGTAGTGATTCCCAAACAGGTGCTACACCTCCTCTGGGTACCATGGGGTGGGGAGTGGTGGCCAAGCCTGTTTGGGTTTGGATGGAGGTTCTGAGACTAGGGGCTGCAGAGTGGGTGTACGTGAGTTGCTGGCAGGCGGCCAGGAAAGGCTCATGGTCTCTGTTAGCGGGCGGGAACTTGTTCTGAATCTAAGCACAGAAGCAGAAAGGCGAGCCTGTTGCAAGGGACACCCTGGGAATTTCACAGCAAGCCCCTCGGGCCTCCCAGGGATACCCAAAGGGCGGCACAGGCAGTGTGGCCTGTTTGGCAGTTATGTAAGTGGGACATGTGGTGGGTCCACCTTGTGTCATCACACCAAGAACCGGGAAAGTATCCACTTGAACAAGAAATACCATCAACCTATACCATCACCAAGATGCCTTGGATGGTGGAATTGTCTGGTAAGGACTTGAAGCACCATCGTAAAAATGCTTCAGCGAGCACACTGGAAACAAATAAGAAAGTCGAAAGCCACAGCACGGGAATAGAACAGAACTGAAAACTACAGCAACCCAGATTAGAACTACCTGGAGGGCCTCGGCAGCAGAACAGGGAGGGCTGAAGAGAGAATCGGTGAACTGGAAAATAGAACAATAAAAAGTACACAGTCTGAACAATAAAAAAAATAACATGAACAGAGCCTCCAGGACCCGTGGGCCAACAACAAAAGATCCAACATTAGTGTCATCAGAGTCCCAGAAAGAGAGAAGAAAGAACGTGTGGCTGAAAAAGTGTCAGACATTTCCCACATTTTGCAAAAGATAGAACCTACCAGTTCAAAAAGCTGAGTGAATCCCAAACAGGATAAACCCAAAGAAACCCACAGCAAGACATCTCAGAGTCAGACTTCTCGAAAGTAGAGAGAAATAAAAATTTTGACTCCACCAGCCTGAGTCCAGTACACCTAGATGGTGCCCCGCTACCACCACTGACTGCTTTGACCGGGATCACAACAGAGGGTCCTGGACAGAGCTGAAGAAGGATGTAGAACAAAATTCTAACACACAAAAAGACCAGATTTACCAGAGACTGGAGAAACCCCAAAAGTATGGCCCCCGGACACCCTTTTAGCTCAGTAGTGAAGTCACTCCTGAGGTTCACTGTTCAGCTGGGAATTGGACAGCCCCATAAAACAAAATGGGACTAATGAAGCACAGCAGTCCAGGGACAAGGACTAGAAGGCAAGAGGAGACAGGAAAGCTGGCGATAGGGAACCCAAGCTTGAGTAAGGATAGTGTTGACATGTTGTGGGGTTGTTAACCATTGTCATAGGGCAGTATGTGTACTGTTTAATGAGAAACTATTTTGTTCTGTAAACCTTCATCTAAATAACAACAACAAAAAAAGAATTACCTATGTGAGATCGAATTGACAACAGCAACTCAAAAGGTTTGATGGGAAGCCTAGGGGACAGTGAGTTGAAGACAATGGTGATGCAATAATTTGGAAAAGGATAGTGAGAATAGCAGCACAGCTGGAAGAACGTAATCGATGTCACTGAATTGTACATGTAGAAGTTTTTGAAATGGTATATCTTTGGCTATGTATGTTTTCACCAAAAAAAAAAAAAAAAAGGGGGGTCCTCCAAGGTCGAGAAGGGAGAGTGTTAACCAACGTCATAAAACAGTATGTGTACTGACTGTTCAAAGAGAAACTATTTGTTCTGTAAACCTTCACGTAAAGTACAATTAAAAGAACGAACTGCTGGAGGGAAAAAATAAAATAAAAATTTTGAAACAGCAAAGAGAAACAACACCTTACCGGTAAGGGGAAAACAAGTCAAATGACGGTGGATTTTTTATGAGAAACCATGGAGGCCCAAAGGAAGAGGCACACATTTTTCAAGTGCTGGAAGAACAAAATTGTCAACCCAGAATCCTATACCCAGCGAAAATATCCTTCAAGAAGGAAGGGGAAGTCAGACACCTCAGAGACCATCTTGACTGTTTTCACCCCAGACCTTGGTCTTTCCCAGCTGTGCGGCCATGTGGTAGGGACAGGAGAATCCAGGCCAGCACCTTACAGGCACAGGGTACCCACGAGGGTGGGGCTGTCGAGTCCCTGTAGAACCAGGGCCGGCTGACTTAGGCAGCCTAGGCTTCACTCTGTCCCATCCTGTCCCTTGCCTCTTTACTGTCCACTGAGATATGGCTTCAGCCACGGATCAGTCCCCTCTGTCCTACCTGCCCTCCAGCTCGTGTCAGTGTGGGGAGGCCGTGTGGGGGCTGTTGGTAGACCAGTGCAAGTCCCTCCTTGGGGGGAGGGCTTGGGTCATCAGGAGGCAGGCAAGGCCACGCCCTGACCGCTGTGACTGTGGCCCATCATGTGCCCTGTGCAGGTGCCTGAGATCGTGAGCGTGCTGCGCTCCAAGCTGCAGCAGACCCAGGAGGAGCACATCCTGAAGGCCGCCCAACACAGTGTGTACCTGCTGGCCTCCTGGCACCGTGCTGCTGTTGTGTCCAGCCTGCTGGGCAGCCCTCTGCCCTTTGACAGGTACGGTCCCACCGCTGTTTGACAGCAGGCCCTGCCCTGATACCCCCTTTCTTCATGGAAACCTTGGGCCAAGTGTGGGATGACAGGTGGTCACATGGAGAGCAGGCTCTGGGGATCAGGCGCCGTTGGAGGTTTAGCCCACCCCATCCTCAGGCCCTCCCTTATGGCCACCCGGCGGGTAGTGGGGCTGCTGTCCCTGTCTAGCCTCCCCTGAAGCCCCATCTGTGGCCACAAGGCCACCCTGGCCTCTCTGTCGGCTGTGTTGCAGTGGACACTGGGGTCACGTCAGCTCTCGGTGCTCTCTTTCCTGGCACACTGCAAGGGATGGGCCACCTGCAGCCCTGGCATCACCCCAGCCTCTGAGCTCCCTCCCTGTGGCTGCCCCCCGTCCAGCTGACCCTGCCCTTAGCCCACTCAGTCCCCTTGCCCTCTGCCGGAAGACTTCGGGCAGCCCCTGGCTCCTTGGGCCGCCTCTCTCCCCGCCTGCCCTGGCCTGTCGGCACGTTGGGCCCCCAAGTCCCTGAGGGAGGCCAGCCGCGGGTAGCCGTGTGAGCTCCCGGAGACCCTGCGTCAGACGCCGCCACTCGGCCCCTGCAGCTGTGGCTTGACATTTTTCACCACGTGCGGTCTCTTCCTTCCCTTGTTGGGTCTTGTTGCTGTGTGTTCTGAGGCTGTACTGTCAGGCGCCTGCACGTTTAAACCCCTCGTTTCCCCCAGGTGAGTGGTGGCTCTTGTCCACTAGGGCGCTGTTTGCATCCTGTCCTGGTGTGTCCGCGGGGGTGCCCTACCAGCCGATCTGTCGCCGTGGGTTCTGGATGCGTTCCTTTAGAGCATGAGCCACTGTACTGTGTGCTCCTGTGTCGGGTTCAAGTCCTCCGTCTTACCGTCTGCTTTCTGTTGGTCTCACCTGGTCTCTCTCTCTTTTTAAATTTTGACTAACGGGGCATTTGTTTATAACATTTTTATTGTTGATTTTGTTTTTATTGTTGATTTGTGTCTTGGGAGACCCCATGTGTTAGAGTAGAACTGCCCCATAGGGTTTTCTTGGCTGTAATCTTTCTGGAAGCAGATCGCCAGGCCTGTTTCATCCGCAGAGCCACTGGGTGGGTTCCACCCGTCAACCTTGTGTTTAGCATCTGAGTGAACCGTGAGTACCACCCAGGGGCCTTTATAACTCTATTGTTCCCACTCCGCACACCTCTGCTTCTTTTCTTTTCGCGGTTGCCCTGCCCCAACATGACCACATGTGCAGTCACCTGTGAAGTCTGGTGCTCACGCAGCCTCCAGGTGCCTGACCCCTCTTACTATTGCCGGGTTGGCCCACAAACTCATCACTGCTCTGCTGTGCACTCGATGTCCAGGGTCCTTTGCCCACATAGCTGCCACTTGCTCTGCTCTCCACTCACCTGCAGGGCGGAGTGCAGCGAGTTCCCACTGCCCTGACCAGGGAGAGGCGCCCCGTGCCCCTCAGCCAAGCCCCCGGGAGGTCAGCACCATCTGGCACTGTCACCAGACCTTGACTCAGTGTAAATGGACTCATCCAGGCCGTACTTCCGCTGCTGACGCCTTCCCGGGGCCGTGCAGTGTTGCTCTGTGCACTTCACACTGTATCTGGACATTTAGGTGGTTTCCGCTTTGGGGCCGTTGGGGATAACGACGCTTTGGCCATTCTTCTGCATTCTCTCGGTGGCCAGAAGCCTCTGTTGGTCTCTCGCATCCATACGAGGAGTACAGTTGCTATAGGTCTGGGGTTGCCAACGTCGGCCCTGGGCCAGATCTGGCCCACTGCCTGTTCGTGTACAGCCTGTAAGCCAAGTATGGATTTTATGTTTCTAAATGGTTAAAAAAAAAAAATCAAAAAGAAGAAAAATATTTCATGACTCTTGAAAATCATATGTAATTCAGATTTCAGTGTCCATAAATAAGTCTTGTTAGAATGTGGCCACACCCACTGTTTACATATTGCCCAGCTGCAGAGACAGTGAAGGGCTGTCCGCAGAGCCTGAGGTGTTTGCTCTGGGCCCTTCTGGACCATGTTCTGGGCCCTGCCCTGGCTGCAGGTCAGTGTGGCCCCAGCAGACACAGCCGCACATCCTCAGGTGGGAGCCGGGCAGTGCTACACACGTGAGCCAGTGGTCACGTCCCCATCCTGAGTGTGTGTCTTTGTCCACATATTTTACCACCTTGTCCGTGGTCCCAGGTCTCCATCACTTTCCTTCTGCCTGAGGTGAGGGTGTGTGGGTGACAAACTCTCCATTTTTGTTTATCTGAAAGTCTTTGTTTTGCCATCACTCTCGAATACTGTTTTTGCAGGGTCTAGAATTCTAGTTTGGCAAGTGTTCCTTCTTAGCCCATCTAAAGTGGCGTTTTATTATTTTCTGGCTCCACCATTGCTCTTGGGAAAGCAGCTGCAAGCCTAACCGTTCTGAAGGAAGCCGCTGCTTCTCTTGGTGGGGACCTGTGCCTTCGCAGGGGTCTGTGGGGACTTCTTTTCTTTATTTGGCCTGGGCCCTGCTGGCTGCTTGAGTCTGCGTATTGTGTCTTAGTCAGGTCTGGAAGGTTCTTAGCCTCTCCTCTCAAGTTGTGATCACTGCTGCACTCTCCCCGCTGCCTCTGGGCCTCCAGTCAGACCCGTGTTAGACCTTCTCATCCTGTGACCACATCCCCTGTCTGTCCCTGAATCTCTCCCTTGTTCCTCCTGTGCACAGAGCAGGGCCGCTCCCATGTCAGCAACGATGTCTGCAGGGCGCTGGGCTGCCTCTTCTTGGTGACATCTGCGTCACCTTGTTGCCTTGTTGCCCTGTCTGCCTGACTCTTGGCCATGGGCTGCTCAGTGCTCTTATAAAGTGATTTGTAGAGGTTCCCTGAGGCTGAATGGACCCACCCCCTGCAGAGAAGGCCCCCTTCCCGCCAGCGCCTCTGAGGCCTCCATGTCCAGGCCCAGACCTTTCTCCCGTCTTTGCCCTCCTGCTCTGCTCAGCACCAGGACAACCTGTGTGCAGACCCCTGGGTCAGAGGAGGCCAGTACCTGTCTGGCGGGCATGTCCGAATGGCGTGGGGTCATGCCAACACGCCTCTAGGTGACTGTCCCCTGTCCGCCACAGCTACACCTGCACCCTTTGGCGGGCTCTGGCCGTGGACCCCAGCCTCACCACGCAGGTGCTGGGGCTGCTGCTGGAGAAGATGAGCAGGGATGTCCCATTCAAGGAGAGCCGGGCCTTCCTGCTGAGCAGCGCTCCTGATCGCGTGGCCACCCTACTGCCCCTCGCGGTGAGTGCACCTGGGGGCCCCCAACATGCACCATCCTTCTCTCCCCTCGGTCTCTGCCCAGCCCACCCAGGGTCATCGTAGGCCAGGAGGCTGCAGCGGGGGCTGGCCTTGTAGAGTTAGTGGGCCCCTCCCCACAACGGCCTGGGCCTACCCGCCAGCACCTGGCCGCTGCCCCTGGGAACGCCGGGCCTGTCAGGCCTGCAAGCTCCATAGCCAGGCTCGTAAAAGGCCTCTCAGGTGTCCGTCCCCAAGGGAGATCATTTTGCGTTTTATCCTGTGAAAAAAAAATAAACCCAGCTTGGCCCCTTTTTAAGCAGTAAAGCAGCTGTGAAAATTTCCTCCTCCCACCCCTCAAGGAGCCGAGAACAGATGGTCTGCGGCCTGTCCCGCAGAGGCAGGCACTGCCCCCCATGCTGGGCAGTTCCTCTCACTCCCCTGACGAACATGACCTCCAGACATGTGGGGGCTGCAGGCCAAGTAGGGCCCTGGGGTTGTTGGGTCCAGCTTTTGCTGCTGGAGAAGGCTGGGGTGCCACCTCTGATGGGTCCCCCCCCCAGGCCACGTGTGCGCTGTATGAGGTCCTGTCTGCTCCAGCCTCTGGGGCTGCGGTGCTGGAGCTTTACCCTGAGCTGTTTGTGGCACTTCTGCTGCGCATCAGCTGCACCGTGGGGGTCCAGCTGCCCCGGAACCTGCAGGCCAAGGAGAGAAGGAGTTCTGGCGCCCCTCCGGCCGTCAGGAACCTGGACCCCTGCAGGTAAACGAGGCCTCAGCTCCCAGCCCACGGCGATGGTCGTCAGCACAGGCTTGTGTGTGTGTGTGCATGCACTGTGGTGTGCGTGCACGTGTGTGAGGGCGTGCGTGTGTGTGGGGGTGCACATGTGTGGCGGGTGTTCATCTGTGGTGTGCATGCATTGTGGTGTGCGTGCACGTGTGTGGCGGGTGTGCGCGTGTGTGGCGGGTGTGCGCGTGTGTGGCGGGTGTGCGCGTGTGTGGTGGGTGTGCGCGTGTGTGGTGGGTGTGCGCGTGTGTGGTGGGTGTTCATCTGTGGTGTGCATGCACTGTGGTGGGTGTGCACGTGTGTGAGGGTGTGCGCGTGTGTGGCGGGTGTTCATCTGTGGTGTGCATGCATTGTGGTGTGCATGCACTGTGGTGGGTGTGCACGTGTGTGAGGGCGTGCACGTGTGTGGGGTGCGCATGTGTGGTGTCTGCTTGTGTGTGAGTGCATGTGAGGGGTGTGCACACACACCCTTTCTGTGCCAGAGGTGAAGATCTCCCCTCGGCTGCTCCCCAGGCCCTGCTCTCTGGCCTCTCACGCCTGGTTGGGGGGTGAAGAGAGGCCCCCACTTTCCACGGGGAGTCAGAGCTGTGGGGAATTCTGGGGTGCGTTGACATGCTGTGGCCCCAGCCTTGTGGGGTGTCTTGTCCCGTGGGTATGCTGGCTGTCCTACAGCAGAGGACATTGCTGGGAGGTGAGCCACTGTGTAGGGCTCCACGGCTGGAACCTTAGCCGCTCAGCTCAGTTCTGGCTCTTTCTACACTCAGAACCCCACTTCAGATGGAAACTCAGCAGAGACCTGCACGGCTGGGCCTGTTTCTGGCTCCCAGGTCCCCCAGACTCCCTGGCCCTGGCTCCTCAGCCCCCAAGTTCCCCCAGCTCCCTGGCTCCCAACCCTGTTGGGATTAGGGTGTGGTTCAGCTCAGTCTCCATCCCAGCTTGTGCAGATACCTCATGGGTTTGGCCCTGTGGTTTCTGCAGAGTGGGTGCTGGGTCCTAGACAGGAGCCAGGGCGGGTGGGTATGTGGTGCCACCAGCTGAGGGCATCTGTACCCTGCCCATTAGTCCTGGCCTCCATGGCCTCTCCCCATATGTCCTTCATCCTCTGGCCCTGCCTACCTTGGGATCCAGCCTGGGTGTGCACACGTGTGGGGGGAAGGGGCAGCCCCTATGCAGGACCAGTCTGGAACTTCCTGCCCTGCTCTCCACAGACTGGCTAGGAGGTGTGAGCAGGAACTGGCAGACGCTGGGCCTGCTCCATCTGCCGCAAGCGCTAGGCATACCAGGCCCACACTCCGTCCAGGCACCCCACTGCCCTTCTCTGGCCCATGGGTGGAGGACGAGCCCCTGAGGACCTGGCCCCGTGTCCACCAGGGATGTTTTCAGAGTCTAGGTCTCGGCCCGGAGGCGATTCACCAGGAGAGTGGACACTGTAAACGCCGAGCCCATAAAGACTGGGCAGGAGGTAGAATGGCAAGAGAGGCCTCCACGGAACTCTTAGCACACTCTGAGCCCAAACCGAGCTCCGAGGCTGCAGCCTGCCCGCGGTCAGAGCAGGCGGTGCAGGACAGGGAGCCCGCCCGTGACCCACGTGGGCAGTTCTGCCTGCGGCACGCGCGGCCACCCAGGCCAGAACCAGGCTCTCCGGCTGGGATCACTGGGTTCCTCGTCTTCCTCTCTGGGGAGGGGAGTCCCAGGAGTGTGGGACCTGCCGACACTTGGTCGGGGCTGTGGCAGTGGCTGCCACCAGCTGCCCTCTGATGTCCCCACAGTCCTTGAGGACTGTGCTGGCTGGGGCAGCAGCAGTGAGGACGTTGGGCTTCAGGAGGCGGCCGGCATCTGCCTCTGCCCGGGACAGGGCCCCGGTGGCGTCTGCTCTGCCACTAAAAGTCCGTGGAACCTCAGAGGTCCCAAACCAAACTTGTCACCCTATGCCCACCCCCCTCTCCTCCCCAGACGCCCCCGCCCCTGCCCTGGCAAGGCCCTGCCCACTGGGCTGCTCAGAGGCACTGGCACACTTTTGCCTCACGCCCAGGGCAGCGGCCAGCCAACCCACCCGCTCCGCACCACTGTCCACACCTGGGCCTCACACATGTTGTTCCCAGAGGGGGGCCTTGCCGGGCTGTGGTCTCCCAGGACAGCGGGGCGGGCGCTGCTCTCCTGGCCCCGCCCACAGGCTGCTGAGCCGGGAAGGGCTTTATCTGTGAGAGGGGCAGACGCTGGATTCCAGACAGGCCCTGGAGAGGCTACAGTATCAGACTCATTTCCTGTGTGGAGAGCTCCTGGCTCCTCCTGCAGGGGGAGACAGCGAGGGTGGGAGGGCCTGGCTCGTTGGCAGGGCAGGAAGTCAGAGGGGCTTTGGGGAGCCTGGAGGCCCACAGGAGTCACCTGGGGGAAGGCCAGCCCCTCCTGTCTTTCAGCCCACCCCTACCCGGACCATAAGCCTGGCAGGGCAGGGTCTCTTGTGTGTTCGCCTGCAGTCCCCTCCTGGGGTGGACGCGGCTGTGCAGGTGGGAGAGCCCGAGGTCTGAGGGGCAGGAACAGACCTCGTAGGTGTCCAGGCCGGGGGGTGGGGGCAGGGGCTGTGGAAGTGGCCCTGGGGGCACCAGCAGTATTGGGCAGAACATGGAGGACAAGGTCCTTGGGAGAAAAGCTGGGAGGCAGATGTCTGCCTGGGCCAGCAGCCCTGAGGCAGCGCAGGCACACCAGGTGCCCAGATTGGCCCCACCTCCCACAGGGGGGCTGACAGTGAAGCCATACCTCTACCCCTGTGGACAGCACAGCGGCCCCCAGGCTGCACCACGCTCCCCCAGGGCTGTTACCTGGTGCCTCCTGGCTGTGGCCCATGACCGTGCCCTCACGGCCGTCTCCCTTGTGTCCCATTCAGCTCTGAGTCCCTGAGGGGCTCGGCCAGACGAGCTCAGGCTGTGCTTGGCCCAGGCAGCCTGGCGGGGTCTGCACTTCTGCAAGGCATTTTCTCTCTTTTCTTGATTTTTTTATTAAAAGACTTGAAGGCGAGTCACAGCTGCTGGCCAATATCCAGGAAGTCCCAGCTGTCCCTGTCCCCACCTGGGCTGGTGCCCAGTGCACTGCCACCACCTGTGGGTGACTGCTGCATCCTCTTCCTGGCACCCACTGCCCCTCCCCAGGGCTGCCTGATGTGGGGGCCGCCGGCCGCCAAGCCCCATTTGTGTCCACACACGCTGGAGCCTGAGCCCCCAGCTCTGCAGCCCTCCGCATCCTTGGGCACCCTGTCTGGCCAGGTTGGGGGGTCAGCACAGGCTGGGACCTGGACAAGAACCTGGGTCAGGGGGTCATGACTTGTGCCCAGGAGCCAGGATGCTGCTGTGGCAGGTGGCTCCGCTCTGCCTGCTTTCGGAACCTGACAGCTGAGCCACCGCAGGCAACCCCGCAAGCCCCTCTCCTGGTGGCTCACAAAGGGCCCTTCTTGGTGGGAAGGAGGCAGAGGCGGAGGGAGGGTAACAAGCGCCAAGAGGTGATCTAATCTGCGGCACCCCCCACCCCCCGCTGCCCTCATGGAGGCCTCATCTGGCACCCCCTTGGACTTGTGCCCAGGAGCAAATATCCTCTAACTCCTCGCTACCCCTCTGGAAGGGGGGCTCTCACTGGGGGGTATGCCCAGGGCCTCCAAGCTGCACCTGGAACCTGCTCCCTGAACGCTGGCCTAGGCCGGGAACGGGATGCTGGGGAACGTGGGGGTGGGGGGGGTGCAGCGGAGCTGAGCGAGGTGTCCCCACAGCTCTGCAGTGGACACGCTGCAGGCCATGCTGCTGAGGGGCGGCAGCGAGGACGTGGTGCGGCACCTGGAGCTGGAGGGTGGCTGGGAGCTGCTGAGGACCTCTGAGGGGCACGAGGAGGGTGTCACTCGGCTGGCCAGGTGAAGCGGGGGATACCCAGGAAGGCCCAGGACCAGAGGGGTGGGGGATGCTCAACTGCTCTTGGCCTGGGGGGAGCCAGGCCAGCATGGGGCCTTGTCCCAGCACAGTGGTAGGTCAGATGTGGTCCCATGTGGAATGTCAGGGATGGCGGTGAGAGATGAGACTCCCGCAGACCCCCAGCAAGCTGGAGGTGGGGTGCGTGTCTGAGCAAGAGGAAGACACAGCCTGGCAGCTGAAGGGTGGGGCTCATGGACAGGAGTGAGGCGCTGCCACACCTTTCAGCATGAAGGTGGGGTTTGGGACACCAGGCCCTGGGAGAGCATGGATGGGGCAGGGTAGACAGCAGCCCAGCCCTCTGACACCCCCGCCCCCCTCCAGGGCTATGGCGAAGCACGCAGGCCCCCGGCTGCCACTGGTAATGAAGGCCCTCATCTCCACGCAGAGCAGCGCATACGAGATCCAGCGGGTCACCTCCACGGCCTTCCTGGCAGAGGTGAGGCCCGTGGGGGCGGTCCCATGAGGGAGTTGCTGGGCGAGGGTGCAGGATGCCTCCATCCACCACCTTGCCTCCGTAGGATCTGCAGCTGGCGGCCAGGCCTGGCGGAGGGGGGTCACTCGGCAGGGCGCACAGCACACAGGTCCCTGTGGAAGTGCTTTGCCACTTGTGTCCCAGGGCCACAGCAGGGGGGCTAGAAGGAGCTGGGGTCGGGAGCTCGGGGGGACCTAGGTGTGCAGCCTGAAGTGGGGGTCAGCACAGGCCTCCCTGCTGGCTTGTCTCGTCGCCTTCTCACGTCGCAGGCCTTGGTTGCAGACCTGTCCTTGCACCCACTCGTATAATGCTCCCAGGGCATTCTGGGCAAGGCTGGTCAGGGAGCCCCTGGGGTCACCATGCCTCTGTCTCCAGCTGCTCAGCAGCAACGTGGTGAATGACCTGATGCTTCTGGAGACGCTGCTGGACAACCTGGCTGTGCGGCAGAAGGACATGTGCGCCAGTGTGCGGCGGCTGGTGCTCCGCGGACTGGCCAACCTGGCCTCCGGCTCCCCTGACAAAGTGGGTCCATCACTGGCTCTGCTAAGGGCACCTGAAGAGGCCCGGGTGTGGGTGGTGGCAGGGTATGCATGGGCATGGGTGGGGTCTTGAGCTTGGGGGACCCAGGACCCTGAGTGCGTGTTGGTTCTCAGGTTCGGACCCATGGCCCCCAGCTCCTGACAACCCTGATTGGTGGGCTGGACGATGTAGACGACCTGCACAGTCTGGTGGCCCTGGAGGCCATGGTGGGCCTGGCAAGGCTGCTGGACCTGGTGGAGCCGTGGGACCTGCGCTCAGTGCTGCTGCACACCGCCATCCGCATCCGGCCCTTCTTTGACAGTGTAGGCGGGGCAGGGCGAGGGGACATCCTCACCCCAGCTAGGCCAGCTCCAGCTGCTGTCTTCAGAGCCCCAAGCCCTGCCCTGCTCCCAGGAGTGGCCTCCACCATCCCCTCCTCCTGACCCCCACACTGGGTGGCACCTCTGGCACTCTCCCTATCCACTCCCCCGGGCTGCCAGCCGGACCTTCTAGAGGCGGGCTGAGGGTCCCCTACTGCCACCTTTCTGTCCTGAATCTCCAGCCTCTGCCCCTCCCACTCTCAGGTGGGGATAGCATTCACAGCAGGGAGGGTGGTGAGGGCTGGCTGGTCACAGTGGCTGCATGGGGACACCTTGCTGCCCCAGGAGAAGGTGGAGTTCCGGCGGGCATCTATCTGCCTCTTTGGACACCTCAACAAGGCCTGCCATGGGGACTGTGAGGATGTGTTCCTGGAGCAGACCGTCAGCGCGCTGGGACCCCTGCTGCTGCACCTACGTGACCCCCAGGCCACTGTGGTTGGCGTGAGTTGCCGGGTGGGGTGGGGCGGGAGGGGGCAGCCGGGGCAGGGGGCTCAGCGCAGTGCTCCACAGGCCTGCAGGTTTGCTCTGCGCATGTGCGGCCCCAACCTGGCCTGCGAGGAGCTGACGGCCGCCTTCGAGAAACACCTGCAGGATGGCCGCAGCCTGCACTTCGGTGAATTCCTCAACACCACCTGCAAGCACCTGGTGAGGTGGGGCGGGCTGGGCAACAGGCCAGGGGATGGTGGGCCAGGCAGGGCGGACAGCAGGGCCAGGGGGTGGGCCCAGGACTCACGGCCTCTGCCGCAGATGCACCACTTCCCTGACTTGCTGGGCCGCCTGGTGAGCACCAACCTGTTCTACTTCAAGAGCAGCTGGGAGAATGTGCGGGCCACCGCCCCCATGTTCATGGGTGAGTGCCCCGGAGCCCACCCGCCCACCCTGGCCCACTGGAGCCCGCCTGCCCTGACCTGGCCCGCCTCCCACCACAGGCTTCCTGGTGCTGCACGCGGATAGGGAGCTCCGACATCAGGTGGACCTGGAGCAGCTCATAGCTGGTGAGCGGGCGGGCCTTCCCCAAGCTGCCCGCCAGCCCCCTCCTCCCCCTTCCCCGGCACCAGACATGTGGACCACCCCTCCTCCCACTCCCCCCCCAACCCCGGGGCCCAAGGGGTGGTCCTCGAGTCCCCAACCTGTCTGCCCTGCTGGGCCCTGCTGACCCCGGGGGCACCAGGGGGAGCTAAGTGATTTTCCTGGATTTCAAGGATTTTCTTCCCTGTCACTGGTGACCTCATCGTCTCTAGTAATTCACGGAAACTTCCTAACTGTTCCAAAAGAGCTTAAAAAACACTAAAAAAGGAAAAATTATCTTTCCGTTGGCTCCCGAGCTCTCCCGGCAGAGAGGCCTGTTTGGAGGGTGGTGAGGCCCCACGCGCAGGCACCACTGTGCCCTGGACTGGGGTGGGACCCTGCCCAGGGGAGTCAGGGCAGGAGGGCCAGGTGGGGCCCTTGGGGACCCACGGCTCAGGCATGGCCGCTGCCCTCTGTCCCCACCCAGCGCTCCAGCTCCTGCTGAAGGACCCTGCGCCCACAGTACGCATGAAGGCCGCGGAGACGCTGGGCCGCCTGGTGAAGTTTGCCTAAAGCCAGCCAGCCCGTCCCCCTAGCCCTCCCCTGGCGGGACCCCTGCCTGGGGTGGGGAGCAGCCAGGCCTCCTGGGCCAGGCACTGCCAGGGAGCACCCCCTCGGTGGACGGCAGTTCCCGTGTGCTCTTTCATTTCTCAATAAAGCCATGAGCCCCCCAGCAGTGCTGTGGGGGGCCGACACCTGGTCTGTCCTTCTGGGGTGCCCTGGGGGCATGGGCTGAAGAGCAGGGCCCCGACGGTCCCACGTGGGAACGCTCGGGCCGAGGGAAGGGTCAGCACCCAGGCAGTGGTGACAAAGAGCTGTATTGTCCCCCTTCCCCCCCCCCAGCACTGGGCTGGGGCGCTAGGTGAAGAGGCGGAGGGTGCCGTCAGCACCTGAGGAGAAGAGCCAGGGCTGGGTGGGGTGGAAGGCCACGTCGAGCACGCCCAGGCCTCGGGTCAGCACGTGGCCTTTGAGCACCTTCACGGGCACCAGCAGTGGGTTCTGCAGCAGGTCGCTGTGGAGAGAAGGGAGCTCAGAGCCTGGGGGGCAACGTGGGAGGGGCCGCCCGCGGGGAGGGGCCGCCTGGGGAAGGGGAGGGGCCCTCACTTGTACACCATGCCGTGGCAGACAATGACGCTGGCGTCATCAGAGCCCGATGCGAACAGCGGGTACCGGGGGTGGAAGGCCACGGCCCGCAGAGCCTTCTTGTGGTGCCTGGTGGGGGAAGGAGCTGATGGGCTCAGAGCGGCAGACGGAGGTGCCCCCACCCATGCCCCATCCTACCCCCCCTCATCTGCCCCGCCCTCACCGCAGCACTTTGTAGGGGCGGGTGGAGAGATCCAGGTCGAACCACACCAGCTTGCTGTCATAGCTGCCACAGATGATGTTGTCACCTACGGGCAGAGCATGGGGCATGGGGTCCCAGAGTCCTCGCCCGGCCCTCCACCCCCGGCTCCCCACCCAGCGTCCTCACCTGCCGGGTGCACGGCGAGGCTGGACACCCACTTGCAGTTGGGCATGAGTTTCTTGGTGAGCTCCTGGCGCAGCAGGTGGTAGAGGCGGACACTGCGCTGGGAGGCCACCAGCAGGAAGGGCCGGGAGGGGTGGAAGGCCACGCGCTGCACCTGCCCGTGGCTGCGGCGGAAAGGGCTCTGGCTGCGGCGCCGGCTCAGCTGGTGGATCAGCACCTGCGTGTGGCCCGGAGTTGCCAGCACCACGGCCAGGTAGTCTCCGCGCCCGTGCCAGACCACCTGAGTCACTGGCTGCAGGGAGGGAGGTGGGCTGAGCCGGCCGCCCAGCCCCTCGCTACCCGCCGTGGCCCGCACCCCACCCCCCACGAACCCCCGCCCCTCCCCGCACCTTGCTGTGGCAGATACGCAGCCGCAGGCCACGCTGGCGCTCCTCGTCTGTGGCCTCCAGCCACTGGGCGGGCTGCAGGGCCGGCTCCTCCGGCGGGCTGAAGGCACTCAGCAGCTGATCGGTGCCGCCCACCGCCAGCCGGTCCCCCAGGGCTGGGTTCAGCAGCAGCACAGCATCCTCCCTATGAGCCACACACAACCCTCAGCTCCTCCCACCCCCACAGGCCCAGATCCTCCCCTCCCCCAGCCCCCACGCACACAGCCACAGCCACCAGGCAGACGGCAGGGTTGGGGTTCCAGGCGACGCTCTTCACCACGGCCCCCACAGGCACAGTCTTCATGCAGCGGGCGGTGGACACCTCCCAGAGCCGCACCGAACTGTCGTCTGAGCCTAGACACAGGTGAGGGGGCCCTCAGCGAGCGGCCCCTTGCCTCTCCCCTGCCCCCCAGGGCTGCCACCAACCCTGGGCCTACCTGAAGCCAGCCACTGGCCCCCCGGAGAGACACTGAGGCAGCGGACCAGGTCGCCGTGGCCCCTGTAGACCTGCAGAGGAGGGAGCTGCGGATGAGGCCCCATCCAGCAGGCCCCCCCATCGCCCTCACCGAGCAGGCCCCCCATCCCCCTTGCTGAGCAGGCCCCTGCAGACCCCACCCCCGCCTGTGCTCACCAGGGCCTGGCAGGTGGGGAAGGGCTGCAGGTCCCTCGGCCGAGGCAGTTTGGGGATGAGGTCTTCGGGGTCCATGTTCACCTGAGGCAGGGAGGGTACCCGGTCATGGCGCACACACCCCCCCCCCACGCCCACCCCAGGGCCCACCCCTGCCACGCGCCCACCCCAGCCACGCACCCGCATCTTGCGCTGTCGGGGACACAGGTAGAGATCGAGGCAGCGCTCGAAGCGCTCCTGAATGAAGCGGCTGTAGGCGGGCACAGCCCGCAGGCTCGGGAACTTTTGCGGCAAGAAGTTGAGCTTCCTCTCCCCAGGCTCCTGCTGCTCCCAAGCCAGGCGCTGTGGACGCAGGAGATGAGCCCGGGGTGCAGTACCCAGGGCCCCCGCCCCCGCCCCCACCTCAGCATCAGGCCCACCTCCTCCTCACTGGGCAGGTACTCAGGAGGAGGGTTGTACGACTCAGCGTGGCCTGGTAGCGCCAGCTTCGGGGCGGGCACGTGCATCTTGTGACGCCCCAGGACAGCGTTGGGGTCCTCTTGGGCCCACAGGTCGTAGTAGCTAGGGGCCTGGTCACGAGGCCGGCGAGGCTGGATCCAGCCCATCTTGATGGCGTGCACCATCCGAGAGACCTGGGCACAGATAGCGGCGGGGCCCCCCCTTAGGGTTGGGGGTTAGCCACACCCTAGGATCAGGGTAGGAGTGGAGGGCCCACCCACCGTGGTGGGGGGCCACACCCTGGGGTCAGGGGGTCAGCACGGGCAGGGGGGCGCTGCACGCACCTTCTCCTTCTCCACAAGCGATGGGATGAAGCTGCGCTTGTCGGCAGGGCGGTTGGTCACCGGGTGGATCATGGTGTCCCCACTGAAGAAGTCCACAGCTGGCTGGGGGGAAGCATGGGTAGGCCAGGGCCCTGCCAGGTGTCCCTGCCCCTGGGGCTGCCACCCGGCCACATACCTCATAAGGGTCGAAGCCCACATCCCCGAACTGGCCTCTCTGCAGCCGCTGCACCAGGGCCACCTGCTCGTCCGTCAGCCGCACATCCCGGCCCGTCCCTCGGTCCTGCACTGTGCGCCTGGGGGCAGACCACCCACCTGGTCAGACAGCCCTGTCCCCCGGGGCCCTCCCACCTTGCCTGGCCCCCCGCCCCGGGCCCGGCCCCACCAGTAATCAGGATCATCCATCTTGTCCAGAAACTGATCGAGCTCATCGCGGGTGCGCAGGGGCTTATAGATGCGCCGGCCATCCAGGTCATAGCCCACGTGGGGGAAGTCCGCGTACCACTCCAGGGGCACATTGCCCACAGTGTTCCGGATGTCCTGCAGTGGGCGGGGGGCAACCTGTGTCAGCCCGACCCCGACCCTGACCCTGCATGTGCCCTCCCGCTGCCCCAGGTCTGACGTGGCACGGCAGCCGGCGCTGCCCCCACCCGGCCTCAGAGGCGCCGGAGTGCACCTTCACATTTTCCACTGAAGTGGTGCCAGCCCCGCGCCTCCCCCGCCGCCAGATTCCTTGGCCAGGGCTCTGGGCAGCCACAGACAAGGTGACCTCATCGCCCGTGGGCTCCCTCCCCTGGCGGGGCCCTGAGGCAGCGAGGTGGCAGCCACAGGGCAGGGATGCTGGGCTGGACAGGAGGCAGCTGCCGCTGGCACTGCCCTGCGGGCACTCGGGCCCCTGCCCACCAGTCCTGCTCCCAGCCCTCCAGCCTCCCGGTCCTGCCCCCTCCCACTCTCCCCAGACCCTCTTGCCCTGCCCCCCACCCCCTGCACTGCCCCCGGCAGGCCGAGCAGCTGCATTCCTGGACACATTCCTGGCCGAAGCCCTGCCAGCCACCACCACCTCACTCCGCCCAGCTCGGGGACCGCTGCCCAGGCGGCCACTTCCTGCAACAGTAGCCACGTGGGGGAGGGGCCCAATGAGATGGAGCACAGCCGGGGGCCCCAAGGCCCTCGCCCCC